TATGGCGAGTCTATTCATCAACGGCAACGCGGACTACCGTATGGAACGACTTGGCGCATTTTACGTAGAGATCTTAAACTGAAAGCGTACAAAATACAGCTTGTGCAAGAACTGAAGTCGCTGGACTTTCCCAAGCGACATCGCTTCGCTCTATGGACTCTTGGCTCTAAGAAGATTCGACGTTCGCTCTATGGACTCTTGGTTCTAAGAAGATTCGACGTTTTCTAGTTAAATTTTGGTCAGCGATGAGGCCCTTTTGCGGCACAATGGGTATATAAACAAGTAAAATTGCTTCATCTGATACGAAGAGAAACCTCAAGAGATTCAAGAGTTGCCATTTCATCATTGAGCTGCCATGGTTTGGTGTAGGCCGGTGGAATAATCGGTGCATATTTCTACAAAACTTATGCTGAGAACGTAATCGTCTATGGCGATCGTTATCGCGCCGTGATAACCGACTATTTGATGCTCGAAATTGGACCTCGCGATTTCGGCGGCAACAACACAGCGCCATTTCCCACACATCACCTCAATCAATGAATTTATTGAGAGAAAACTTCGTGTAAATTTGTGTACTTAAGCACAGACATTTCTAAATTTCTGCATTGGCCAACCATAATCGTCATTTGTGTTTAAGACTGTACCCTAAATATGCCGATGGGTGTACACATACATAAACATATGCAAATTTACTAATGTGCGTCACTTATACGCACACGTCACTAATACACATGACACACCGGAACTGTTTGATGGCCTCAGTTGCTAATGACAACGTTTATTTTGCTCTGTTAGCTGGGCTCTTATCTACACATATCGCCTGCGGCTAAAGWTTTCTGCTTGTTCACTGCACTAGCAAATCTCTACAAAATCAAATCCCCGCCTCAATTTCGTTAAGCCCTGATAAGCCGCCCACGAGCTATAGCAGTGTCACGTGTAAGTCTAAGCCTGCCAACGAACTCTGAAATTTAGCCGATGAAGTAACGGAGCTTTGCATGTGGCGCGTCAAAATTATCTGCTGCGCTGTGTGCGGCGCACTTTAGSGGCTCGAAAATGTCCGGCAAATACAATTATTTGTGTCTGGCATCACTATTACGCGCCCACTTTATGTGTCCTTCGCGGATCTGCCAACCGTTTACAGACACACCCGCCAGACAACAACCCCCACCTGCCGCACAAACGCTAAATGCCGATGGAAGCACTCCACATATTGAATGTGCAGCTTTGCTACCCAGTAGCCTTTTAATGGTACATACATGTGTACACACAAACATACAGTTTACAACTACAAGCGAAGCTAAATGCAATCTCGCACAATTTAAAACGGTTACTTTAGACAGGCGAGTCTAGATACACACTTTTATGCCGGTGCTGAGCAAGCGATCGTTGGTCTCTTCACTCCATTTAATTGGAGGCGTCAATTTAACTGTAAAATGGCAGACATGAGTAAGCATCGAGTGAAAAAGTCACTGCTCTGGTTCATTTTCATGGCACCCAGATGTGTTGTTGTTTATTCGCATGTAAACATATAAAGAAATTGGACTGATGTAGTTTCTAGAGAGGGTCATCAGTGAAGACTTGAGCGCACAGTGAATCGGAATTAGCAGAGCTAAGGAAATTTAATGCATGATACGTGAAAAAATGACTACCTTTGTTATAAGACCAAGTTTATTAATAACTGGACTATGTATTTATTTTATACCAATAGTACTAATCAAAAACTCTGAAGCTGACTTGGTACTTTTATGCAAATAATTTTCTTGATTTTCTGACAAATATTTTTGTCCATCTCTCTTATGTTTTAGGATTTCCGACTTAACAATGCAAATAAAGGGAGGCCCCTACTATATATAGTAGACACTCTGATTGGATTGCTATCTGGAATATCTTTATATCAAACCAGTCCTTGCATTGGCGTTCGGCCAATCAATCACATCTCCAACAACATTTTCGCCTTGCTTGTATTCCAATTTTGCAAAAACTATTCCAAAAATGTTTACTAACACTATATTTACTTACTTRTTATATCAGCTGTTCAAATATAGGGTACTCGAAAAAGGCGTTTTGTATTTTTAATCAAATTTCAAATTATTTTTTTTTATTCTTAACGAACTTTAATGAACCAATTATGCACCATTTTGGTCGACCACTTTTTGMYATATTTCCGCTAGAGACATTATTCCATCAGTGTAAAACGTTTTTGGTTTCTCTGCGAAAAACTGCGACAAGTAATTTTCACAGGCTTCTCTTGAAGCCAAACTCCATTAAGGAAGTTCTGCATTGACCGAAACAAATGGCAGTGAGATTGTGCAAGGTCAGGTCTATATGGTGGATGCATCAAAACTTCCCAGTGTGTGGTCTAACGTTGTCTTGATGAAAGACGAATGTTAATCAGTTTTGGCGGTTTTTTTCGATTGCTTGCTTCAATCTCATCAGTTGTTAACAGTAAAATGCAGAATCAATCGTTCGACCAGGCTGGAGGAGCTCATAGTGGATGATTCCTTTCCAATCCCACCAAAAACTCAGCATAATCTTTCAAGGCGCAATCCTGGCTTTGCGACCTTTGGTTGAGCTTCACCACGCTTGGACCATTGTGTTTTTCACACATTATTGCCGTATTTGATCCACTTTTCGTCTCCTGTTACCATTCGTTTCAGAAATGTTTCGATTTCATTTCGTTTCAGCAAAGAATCGCAGGTGTTATTGTGGTACCCAAACATTGAACTTCTTTTTGTAGCCAGACCAGACGGYCCGGGTCAATCTTTTGCATAATTTCATCAACTTTTTCAACTTCAACAGCTTYTTCCAGAAGGAAGCGACGAAACATTGTTGTGCTGCGCTACACGAACTGTTACAGCATCGCTTCCCTAAACTTCTTAAATTTTATTGGTGGCTTGCATGGCTTTCTTCCCCTTTTTATACAAAAATTTCAAAGCTTAGAAGCTTAGAATCTGACCTTTCTAACACTACATGGAATGACACAATGTGACAATGACTGCAATGACATCTATTGACAAAATACGAAAAGTCTTTTTCGACTACCCAATATATAACGGCAAAGCGGTTAAGTGTGAAGTTGGCTGCCAAAAATTCAATAAAATCAGCTTGTCGTCAAACGAAATAAGTTAGTGAACGACCGAATAATAGAAACWTAGAACCGCTTTAATCTGTTTATGGTTACGCTCTGAACACATACATATTTTCCATTTCAAATAAAGTTCAGTTTTTAGCACACTGTACAATAGATAGCACCTCCAACTCGCATATGCCGGTGGAACGGCCGGATGGACTACAGTTCGCACTTGAACGCGCTGCAAGGAAGTAAATAAAATTAACGGCTTACATCGTAACGGTGAAATTGCAYTTTTGGTGTCCCCATCCGCGTTCYTGGCGAACATTGAAAAGGTCAACGCCAGTCAAATCAAATGATAAACACGGCATATTTATGCATCTACGTCGATTTGAACCGAGTTAACAACAACCATAGCGCTTAATACTCACTATTAACTGCACTACACGAAACAGTAAAACCATAAGTACCTGCTTGGTAACTTAAATGGCACAAAGCAGGCAAATGTGCAACTCTATGAGCACTTAAACTCCTACTGCGTTCATTCAACTCCCATAAAATGCCGACTTTTTTCTTTCATTTATACATTTTTGTTTTATTAATCAGAACATTTAAAAGTTTACCGCACAAAATCACTCTTCCAGGTAATTTCGAAAGTACTCCGAGAAATGCTCAGCATTTTTCGCAATCATCAACAATTTATGCCAACACATCAACTGCAACTACAAACGCATTAATTTCATTGCAACCCGAGCAGAGAACCCTACCAGCCGCCCCACCCTTTGCCATAGCAGAGCTGGAGCGCCCAGCAGCCGCCCAACGCCGCTGCTCATTTCGTTGCGTTTGGTGTGTTTTTGAAATATTGCGGCTTCAGGCTAATTTATGACTTTAGCTGGTTGGGCTCACTCGCTCGCACCGCGCTAGGGTATGGAGAAGCTCCATAAATACATATATTTCTTCTACTGCCAATAGAAGTGTTTACTGTTAGCTTTCGAGATTGGTAAGAGAWAAATGTCGAGCAGCAGTTTTAAAACAGCARAGCAGCAGGCGCAAACCGGTGGTGTGCTGGAGAACATATGTGTAAATCTTGCGTCCATACTTGTAAAACTACCCACCCACTTTCCGAGGCTGCATGAAAATGTAAAAATGCGTCGACGGAGCGAGTAGAAAGCTTTTSCCCGAACTTATTTACTACAAACACGAGAGTTTACGGGCGTTTCAGGCAGTTGGTGCAGGAAATCGGGAGTTTTTTAAATGATTGTTTGATTTGGCATCCGGCAGCRTAAACACTGCACAATTGCCCTTTGAAGTAGCTCAGCGTTGCAGAAGCAAGCAAAAAGAAAGAAAACAAAAATACAAAAAATAAAAGTCATAAAAAAGTAAGCCAACCTAGGATTTATTCTCTTATATACAATTTGGTATATTTTCTACTTAATTCACAGCGACTTCTGCAATTTGCTGTGCCGACTGCGAATTTCAGCACGGATTTTGGTGATTTTTGTTTTACAAGTATTTTCGCCATTTGAATGTTGAATGGCATGCGCATTAGAACTCAAAGGAAAAATAATAATTTCAAACTCATTAAAAACAAAACAATGAACATACTTAATCACAACAGAGGTCGCTCTTTTTAATATTGTCAAAAAGTTGGAACAATAGTTTGTAGAAGTTCATTGTTAAAAACATAAACGTWGCTCCGTGCTGCTCGATCTAAAGGGCGGATACAAGTGCTTTTGTGGTTTGGTATGAGACAGGAATGTCTAGTTTGAACTCTTTTGAGTCTATTTGGAATCTAATTCAATCTTTAACTAATATTGCGACTAGTGGTACGCTTCAAACAGTTGTTTGGTCGAGACCTACTGCTTTAAATCAAATGTCCAACGAAGTTATTTGATTTATTGTAAAAATCCATACAAACTACATTACTCACACTTTGGAGCATTCGGTATAACCTCTGCTGCCGATGTGCATACAGCATGCTCACGCGCGCTTGCTATGCAGCCATTTACAGACATTTTTAGCACTTGTAATAATTTATTTTCCAACGCAGCTGTGTCCACCTGCAGCCACTCTGCCAATATGCATGCAGTGCAACTTGTAAACGTGAAAAACTGGTCATTTGTTCGCCGATTTTCTGTTTGCGCCCACGGGAACAAACAACTTCATTTGCTAATTTCCAGCCAATGCTGTCTAAAGTGAATAGTAAAATGTTTGTAATTGAAAGTTCATAATCAAGTCAAGTCAGCAAGGACACATGTGTTGAGGTCTGCTCCCTGAGACGAATTAAGGCTAGAAAAGCTATTTTGCATGCAAATACACGACATTCTCTACTATAGTAAATTTTTTTTACCAGCATACTATATATGCAGATCCAAGTAGATGTACCTTTCTCAATAGCCTTTTTAACAGATCACGCGTGAATTGTGTCAAGCTGTCATGTTTCTTTTGTTCAATATTGTTTGGCATTTCATCATGGAAAGAAAAACATTTACAAATCGTTCAACGCACGCAACGAAAAAATATAGCAGCCGTAGATGAGAGTGTACACGAAGACCGTGGAGACCCGATTCGACGCCTTTCGCAGCAACTCGCACTGATGCATTTTACGTCGAGATCTTGAATTGAAAACTTACAAAATGCAGTGTGACTGAAGCCGCTCGACCTTCCGAAGTGACATCATTTCGCTCTATGCGCTCTTAGAAAGATTCAAGAAGATCCGACGTTTTCGAGCCAAGTTTTGTTCAGCGTTGAGTCCCATTTCTGGCTCAATGGGTATATAAACAAGCAAAATTACYGCATTTGGGACAAAGATCAATCTGAAGAGATTTAAGAGCTGCAATTTTATCGGTTCATATTTCTTCAGAAATTATGTCGGTGGGAACATAACCGTCAATGGCGATCGCTATCGCGCCATGATGGCCGACTATTTGATGTCTGAAATTTAAGCTCGTGATCTCAGCGACATTTGGTTTCAACAAGACGGCGCCACTTCCCACGCATCGCATSAATCAATAGATTTATTGAGAGAACACCTCGATGACCAGATAATTTCACGTTATGGGCTGATCGATCCGCCACCATTATCAAGTGATATCACTATGCGGACAATACCGCTTCGACTCAGGCTGTGGAGCAAAACATTGCGCTTATTATTCGCCAATTACCAGTGGAAATGTCATCCAAATTTGGACTCAATCAATGGACCATCTGAGATGTAGTCGCGGTCATCAAAAAATAGATGCCAAAGAATGTTCTTTCGAATGATAATAAAAATTCCCGATTAAATTTCAAGTTTCTGGGGTTTTTCTTTATCACCATTTATATATAATAACTGTGATACTATCTATTTGAAGAATCCCACAGTTTCTTTCAACAATCTCTCACTCATTCACATCGAAATTCTTCTGCCAGAAACACACTATGAGCTCGATTTAAGTTCAACTTTAATGATGATAAATGGGGGACAAACATTGAGCAGCAAATGAGGCGCAACAATCTAGTTGTTAAGTTATTGCCGGGTTGTCCTATTACAAGAAAGMGCCGCCATCGCACAATCTATCTCGAATACGGAGAAAAAGCGCAAACGCACCAATCGCCAAGGCAGCGCAGCTGAAAGCGACGGCTCATTTGCTCATTTGCAAGCTGCGCAGATGCCCTCACAGCTGTCAATCACATGCGTCAGCAAGCAGAAGACACAGTGTGGCAAAAAAAGACGGCGCTGCAAAATAAAAACGCTGCGAACAACGGAARGCCTTCAGCAACAGGCGGCCAGCCGAGTCGGTGACGTTGCAGTTGACACTGGCAATGACTGTCAAAGTGGTAATGGCGCGTTATGACAACCCAACGTATGGACAGACGCAAACTCTACAGACAGACTTTCGTGCTTGCGGTACAGAGGGGGGGCTGCGCGGCGCCGCCGGCGGAGACTCGGTAACCAACAGAAGTCAGCGTTGCAACGCATCCGTTGCACAATTTGATACGCTTGCTGTGTTGCTGTGCAGCGCCCCTACATCCCTCAAACCCTTGTCACGCGCATTTCGACTCCTTTGCCACTGCCGCTAACCGACSCTAGTCGTCGGCTCGCTGATGTGTGCTTTTACGAGCGCGCTCCGCATCATTATTATTGTCATTATTATTATTAGCAACGCTTTTGGCTATTTGCTCAACGGCTTGTCGTATTTGCTGCGCCTTTTGTCATATATTTAACCCGCCTTTAGTCTTTATTTGTTTTGTGTCTTTGGGCCTTATTACTTGCTATTTAGACGCTTTCAGCGCTGCCTTTTCAACGGCTTTTGTGCTGTTGTAGTGGAGTTGCGCCTTGAATTGCTGCTCCTTCTGAGTACTTGCCTACTTCTTTGTCTATTTTGCTAGAGTCCTTTGTTTTTTTCCTCTTGTCTTAGTCTTGTGCTTTTTATTTGCATTTGTTTCTTATTATATTTTATTTCGCATTTATGTGCGCACACTTCTTGAGAATCGCAATAAATTTCTGGGTATTTGTATGCAGCAAGCGAACGCCGCTCTACCTGCACTGMCGTGTCCTTTTTACAGCGTTTTTTGTCGGCTGCCTCGCCTGTCCTCTACCGCTGCCTTTATYCTCATCAAATGAATTGTGGCGTAGAAACGTGAGAAAATGCGGAGTGTAGTGRGGRCTGCGCAGGCCTCCCTCCCATCATTTACCTCTATTTACATACGTATGCCATATTCCGTAACATATGCTAAATTGTCTTTGTTACTGGAGTTGTTGTTGTGGCTTTTTATGCAAACGCAGTCGCCATCAGYAAGGCAATACAATCATCAACATTACCATTACCATAAATATCGACATTTACGCCAAACGCGCACCTTTGGCGCAGTCATCAGGCCACATCAATTTTCGAAAAGCAACAACAACCGCAAGAGAACAACACAATTTACTAGTTTATTACATTATAGGTACTTAGTTGAGAAAGGATCTAAGTTTTGCATGCAAAAAACYCTTTTGTTCGATCCTTCATACAAATGTTCTTCAACTTGCCCTTGGTACAGTTGTGGTCAKTAAGCTTGCACACATATGTTGCCAAATTTATTCATGAGCGGAAAAATCTACACTCAAAAACTACTGGATTGAATTGAATGCATGAGGAAAAGTTCTCGACATGGTTGYCAAAAGAAGAATCGCAAGAAGAAGTATCACTTTATATATTGGGTAGTCGAAAAAGTCTTTTCGTATTTTATCAATAGATGTCGTCGCAGTCGTATATCTCCAGTGCTTCCAATCACATTGTGTCATACCATATAGTGTTGGAAAGGTGAGATTTTTAGCTTCAGTTAACCAAAAAAAAAAAATTAAGTTCGGGGAAGTTAAGGAAAAGTTACAGCTGATCAAAAGTGAGTGAAGATAATGAAAAAATTCGCTATATTTTGAAATTTTTGTTTGAAAGCGGAAGAATGCCTCGCAAGCCACCAATGAAATTTGTGAAGTTTACGGAGACGATGCTGTATCAGTTCGTGTAGCTCAATCCGTTCGGGAAATTTCGATGTGAAAGATGCACCTCGCTCTGGTCGACCTATCGTTGAAAAAATCGATGAAATTATGGGAAATATTGACCAGGACCGTCACATAAGCAGCCATGACATCGCTAAAGAACTTAAGATTCATCATCAAACGATTTTGAACCATTTAAAAGAGGCTGACTACAAAAAGAAGATCGGTGTTTGGGAACCACCTGAACTGTCTGTGAAAAATTGAATGGACCGAATTAAAATCTGCGATTTTTGGCAAACACGAAATGAAATGGAAACATTGGAGACGTTTTTGGCAAACACGAAATGAAATGGAAACATTGGAGACGAAAAGTGGATCAAATACGAGATACTTGTAATCTGCGAAAAGCGTGCTGAAGCCACGATTGACGCCTCGAAAGGTTATGCTGAGTGTTTGGTGGGATTGGAAAGGAATCATCCACTTCAGCTGCTCCATCGTACTACGATTTGTTTYGGTCAACGCAGAACTCCCTTRATGGAGTAAAGTTGGCTKCAAGAAAAGTCTGTAAAAATTATTTGTCGCATTTTTTCGCCGAGAATGATATGTCTATAGCGGAAAATTAGTACATATTTGGTTCATTAAAGTTCATTATAAATATAAAAAACATAAGTTGAAGTTTGATGAGAAATACGAAAAGACTTTTTCGACTACCAAATATTATCACCTTTCCAGAAAGACTTGTTTTATGAAGTTTCAATTCTGAAGAGGCTTAGAGACATTAATTTCCTCTTTTAAAATTCATTTTAGCTTTAGCTAAATATTCATACATAATTTTAGGCAATGTTTCGCTGCATATAAGTATTAGGAGCCGAAAACAAACCAAAGCCAATTTTAATTTGTAACAATTTGARGGCTCTGCAATTTTCCTGAAYACGARTGTGCGCRTGAATGAGCTAGATGAGTGCCCATTGTTACGTGGTTGGATGGTCGTAAATATCGCTCTGGCTCAACCCGCAGCACTGCGCACTTGTTCTGCTGCCTCTATTGCCAAGCCGAACAAAGCGGCGAGGCCCTTCCACCTATTGGTTGCCGTCAAACACTCAAGTGTCGAGATGTGTTAGAATTAAGATTACGATTACCATCGTCGTAACAGCACTACAATCTTCTTCATACCCCTTTATTTCACACACATACACATTCCCTCCCGCTCGAGCAAAACAAAAGGCGAAACATGCGCTCCTTTCTTCATGAAATCTACGCGATTGTGCACTCGTGTTTACTACTTTACGGTAATTTGAGACTCTCCATCAGCTCGCTATCGAATGTTAAAAAGCATAACGCTGCACTACTATTTTGCTTAGAATACGAGGTTGTTGMGCGCATATCCTTTTCCATTTGTGCCAGAACTCAATTGTTTATGGCACTTCTGGTGGCGTTGCCGTATTCGTACAAAGAAGATAACAACAAAAATAATATACTTTTATTGCGTTACGAAGTTGGGACTTTTCGCTGCAATAAAATAGTGAAGCAATAAAAGTTTGATCGGTGGAA